GGTGCTATCCTGCTGTTTAACTGACTTTTCAAATTAGAGTCATAATCACTTACTGATGCAAGGAGAGATCCAGGCAGACAAAGTATTTCAATAAAAGTGTAGCTCACACACATATAAACACACATGTCCCATATGGCTCCACCTGACCAGGGGAAGGTATATGGGGATTTCATATGAAATCCTCTTTTCTCATATACACAGATACACATTCGCATTCCCCCCATTCCAGGTGGGCAGCACAGACGCACAACCCTTCCCCCGTCCTGAGGGATAAGACTGAGGTAGAAGACCTCCAACAGCACTTTTACCTTGCCTAATCGCTCCCCCTTCCCAGACTCTCTCAGTCCCCACCTCACACTGACCCATCCCAATGGACGTGAGGGCACTTTGCCAGCTGAACCCTGTGAAGGTTTTAGGACGACAGAGAAGCTCAGGAGATTTATCCATTGACGCTTTCATGTATGTCCATGTCAGTGGTCGCTGGAGCTCCTCGTATGTGGCCCTGGATGGAGAGAGGGACAGCTGTAGGCAGAGAGGACACATGAGATCAGGCAGAGCAGCTGTAGCCACAGTCAAAGGTGTGCAGGACAGCTTTATCTGTTTCAGATGGGGAAACATACGGCCAGAAATGCCCATTCTGGTTCACCTAACAGCATTCAAGTGGCTAATGTGGTCCCAGATTGATAGATGACAAGAAAAGCAGGATCCACCTAGATTAAAGTGTTGACCTACAAATGGTTCTCTATCTGTCCATCCGTCCCTCTATCTATCTATCTATCTATCTATCTATCTATCTATCTATCTATCTATTTTTCTGTCTGTCCCTCTATCTATCTATCTGTCTATCCGTCCCTCTATCTATCTATCTGTCCCTCTATCTATCTATCTGTCCATCCGTCCCTCTATCTATCCGTCCCTCTAGCTATCTATCCATCCATCCGTCCCTCTATCTATCTGTCCGTCCTTCCCTCTATCTATCTATCTGTCAATTCGTCCCTCTTGCTATCTATCTGTCCCTCTATCTATCTATCTGTCCGTCCTTCCCTCTATCTATCTATCTATCTATCTATCTATCTATCTATCTATCTATCTATCTATCTATCTATCTATCTATCTATCTATTTTTCTGTCTGTCCCTCTATCTATCTATCTGTCTATCCGTCCCTCTATCTATCTATCTGTCCCTCTATCTATCTATCTGTCCGTCCTTCCCTCTATCTATCTATCTGTCAATTCGTCCCTCTTGCTATCTATCTGTCCCTCTATCTGTCTATCTGTCCGTCCTTCCCTCTATCTATCTATCTATCTATCTATCTATCTATCTATCTATCTATCTATCTATCTATCTATCTTACCTGTCTATTAGATCTATCTGATAGAATGTAAAATAATAATAATTTCACTCACTCAAGAATTAAATATGACACATAGGAAAGGAATGTAGGAATGTTTATCTGGACATTTTCAGGCATGCGGACACAAAATATTTAATTATTTTAGTTTTTCACCAATAGTTTCTTGGTTTAGCTGACTTTTTCAAGCAAACCCTTGTGTATGCAGTGTCCCAAGTGCAGCGTGGAAACTGTGGTCTCTCGCATGGACAGCTGATGGAGGGATGGGGTGTGCCTGCCAGGACTGCTTTCCTGTGGGTTTAAAAAACAGGCCATTCCCCACCTGTGTCACAGCACAGGACTGTGGCCTTACCTCTGCTCTACCTCCATCCGCCATCTGGAACAGTCAGTGTGGGCAGGGGGCGAACTGAGGCCACAGCCTAGGACCGACGACTCAAAAAACTGCTTTATACAGAAATCCTGTGCACTTTGTCCAGTGGGATCAAGAAATAATCAATTTCAGTGACACCCAGGTGATAACTGGCCAAACACTTTCCACAGTTTCTGTGGTTAACATGCTGAAAAGTACAGAGGTCTGATATGAGAATTACCCTGGGCCCTTATGTACTTAATGAAGAGGAACGGAAATGAGACATAAAAAAGAATAATTTTTTGAAAGCTTATTTTTTAAATAAGAGAATGATAAGTTTTTAATTTATATACAATGAATTACTTGCCTTTCTCTCTAACTTGCTCAAATGCCTTATTTCCCATCTCTGAAAATTTATTGTTCACTAAATTTATTGTCAATACAGTGCCCTCTGTCACTATTTCCTGATGTAAACTATGGCTATGGTTTTGATGACAGTGATTGAAAATGCACAAGGCTACACTGTAAAAAAAAAAAAAACGGTGACATTTATGGTAAAATACCGGCAGCTGTGGTTGCCAGAACTTCACCGTAAAAAATTTGGTAGCAACATTTTAGGTTTTACAGACTTAACTTAAATTCACAATAAAATACCGTATTTCATTAACTGATGTAATGTTAATAAACCAACATATTGAAGTACTAATATCTGTTTTGAACCATTGTAATGCATTGGTAACCACCAAAAACTGGTGGTGACGAGAAAGTCACATGATGAACCAAAGCTCATCACAAACAGCTTTTCTACGAGCTGAGGAGGGCAGTACTTATACAGTATATAGAAGGTGCACAGTGTCATTCACACTAACACCAAACCCCATCATGGTGAATAATGCAATAAACATTAATTTAACAACATTAGATGTAAGATTGAACCCTAACATACACAACTGATAAGAAAAAAAACTAACTATTTCAACAACAACAAAAACATCAAATATGAAATGTCATGCAGGGAATCATGCAGCTTTTTCACTTCCAATAACCGTATTTTAACAGTTAAACATTAAATGTAATTACATTTATTCACCGAATATAGTATGGAAACTTACTGTTAACAGGTTTTTACTGTAGCATTTTTACAGTCTTTTACTGTTAAAATCACAATAATTTTTTACAGTGTATACTTTTTCTGCATGGCATATATTTCAACAGTGCAATGTTACTTAGCTTACTTATTGATTGCAAGCGATTGGACAGGATTCACTTTTATGCCTTTACTGTTGGTCTCTTAACAAATTTCAGTAAAAGTAACTGCGCTACAAAAAAATAGATAAGACTATTTTACAGCACAAGGGGGAAAAAGTAACAAATAAGGTAAACCCCCTTAGGCAGACACCATGCAGCACTGTTTGGGGAATGACTACACCGTATGTTAAGCCACAGATTCGCATCCATATCTTCCTGTGCAGTGCATTGCTGAAATAATCGAATGCTTCACCTTTCTCCACTTTATTTGAAATATTCATCAATTCAGGACACATTTATATGAAAATTCTAATAGAAACGTATAGAAAATATGAGTGACAGATAATGACATTTAACCATTTTGCATTTGGTGTTGTGCTGTCATTTAGTGTTATTACTGATTGTCACTTTAATATAACTAAGCTTTCTTTTACAAACATATATGGAGAATAAATAAATAAATAAAATACTAACATAGAAACTTGCCCTTAGAGCAACATTTTTTTTTCAATCTTCTCTGTTAAAGTGTTGCAGTTCCAAATCTGAACACTCAAATTTTTGGCGCAGTTTCCCCAAAACCTCAGTGGGAAGTATTTTGTGGAAAAGGGACATTTGTTGTTAGAAGTCCAGTCACATTCAGCTATGATGTAATCCGATTTTAGCAGTACATATTTCAGCATAATAATAAAAGGCTGTTCAGAATGATTAAATAGGCTAGTCATTGAAATAACAATAATAATTTCCTTGGTATCAGATTAATGCCCCCCCTCCTATTTTATTTGATTATTTATTTTATTTTATTTTTACACACAACGAAAAAAACTAGCACAAAATACAACAACATACAAGGCTTACCTGGACTTTCAATACAGTTAATAATCTGTAGGCCAAGTCCATGTGCTCGTGGGTTTATATAACATTGATCACATTTAGGCTACTTACACGTAATTGTTCTGATTTATGTCCATCTGTGATTTTTTTGTATTATTTTTATAATATTTATTAATACAGGTTTTAGTTTTTATTTTAATTTTAGTTTAAACTGTAGTAATTTTGATAGGTGTTTTTTTTACGGCTTTTGTATTTAAATATTTCTATTTAGCTTTAATTTATATCTGTCAGTTTTAGTTAGGTCGCATTGCCAAGACAACATTTCCGATTTTTCTCATATTTATATATATATATATATATATATATATTCCGAATAAGTGTTTTATTGTTAACTATTAAAATCTTTTCGTCAATTGAAATAAAGCTTAAATGAAACATATATATAGTTTATAGAATATATATATATTCTATAAACTATATATAAGTTTAATTTAAGCTTTATTTCAATTAACGAAAAGATTTTAATAGTTAACAATAAAACACTTATTCGGATTAACCATTTATTTCCGAAAAAGATTTGTATACTCTCAGGTTACTTGAACATTTCTGTATACATGTATATTTACAGTAAAAAAAAAAAAGCTCATTATTTCATTAAGGATCTGACTGATTGTATTAATTTCCGTGACTTTCTCTAGTTAAATTCTTTGTCTCGTCGCTCCGGCAGTATGGTGAGGGGCGTAACATTTCCGTCACACGCTTGAGGTAATCGGCCAATCACAACGCACTGGATAGCTGGCCAATCAGAGGACACCTCGCTTTTCAGAACGATGAGCTTTGTAAAAATCGACAGGTTTCAAAAAGACGGGGCATAGAGGAGAAACAATAATGCACGGTATGTGGAAAATAATGTTTTTTTATTTTTACTTTAAACCGCATAAACATTTCATTACACCAAATACACAAAATAATGTTCTTTTTAGCAGCATCATATGCCCCCTTTAAATAATATAATTATTTCTAGGTTTCCCCTGACCGTGGGAATCCTGTTAATGCCAAGAGAATTCCCCGAAGCATAATGTTCTTTTTAGCAGCATCATATGACCCCTTTAAATAATATAATTATTTCTAGGTTTCCCCTGACCGTGGGAATCCTGTTAATGCCAAGAGAATTCCCCGAAGCGGTGCATCTCTTGTAAACACAGCGGCTCTCGCGAGATTTCCTCGCGCCGCGCAGCACGCGCAGGAGCGTCTATGGAGCAGCGAGGGCAGGCGGGAGACGGAGCAACCGAACCTGGCGCGGACTGTAGCAGGAGACGCGGGGTGAGAGAGGGTAACCTGCCTGTGACGTCGCTGTGGTGTGTCTGAGCGGCGGCTCCCGGGGTAAGGAACTACCGCAGCCTTTCCACATACAGCCCCTCCTTTCGAGACAACACTCTAGTAGTGACCACTTGAGTCTTTGCTCTCTCTGTAGACGTGCTTCTCCGATCCGTGCTCCATTCGAGCCTGTAAGGAGGACGCGCACATACTCAGGGAGGCGAGGGAAGCCCATTGGTCTCCCTACCGACGCCAGCGACAGG